TATTTATTTGCTTATTATTTGTGTGCTACCCATTTCATAAGATTCTGGTAGCTCACAACTTCATAACTATAAAACATAAAGCATTAGTCATATAAAACTGTAAAAGCAAAATTATGCCTTATTTCATTTTCAAGCAGGACAGTTATAACCTCCAAGACAATATATCCACCAGAAGAACAGGCCTTCAGACACAGGTTATGGGGGAATGGTGGCAGCAGAGGGGTGTGTCTGTATCTCTTGCTTGCTACCCTGCAGCCTAGTGGCACCTGGACCAAGATGGGCCTTGGACAGATCCAACATGACTCTTTTATGTTTTTTATAGCAGCTTTTCCTGATCTGTGTAATCTCAACACTTCTGGAGGAAATCAGTGGGGATTGATCGATTTATTATGTGCCATCAAATTGCTGAAACTTAGCAACCACATAGATAGATTTTCTCCATGACGATCTGTTCCTAACCTGATCTTTCAGGTCTTCCAATGGTCCACACATCACCACTGTAACTGAGCCCATCCCTCTTGCTGCTGGTCATCCTCTTCTTCCCATTCTTTCCACCTTTCCCAGCATTAGAGTCTTCTCCAGAGAGCTGGGTCTTCACATAATATGTCCGAAGTAGGATAATTTGAGCCTGGTCCTTTGTGCCTTGAGTGAGAACTCAGTGTTGATTCATTCAGTAATCAATTTGTTTGTTTTCTGGGCGGTCCATGGTACCCTGAAGTCTTTTCCAACACTAAACTTCAAAAGCGTCAATAGTCTTCCTATCCTACTTCTTCAAACTCCAAATTTTGTTTCCATGGAGTGTCACAGGGAATGCTATGGCTTGCAAGATTCTGGTCTTTGTAGGTAGAGACCCATCACGGCATCTAAATCTCTTTTCCAAGGCCTTCATGGCTGCTCTACCAAGCATCAGTCTGCGGTGTATTTCTTGACTGCTTGTCCTTTTACTGTTGACAAACTGGGGAAGCCTGGCCTAAAACCTGCTGATTTTCATCAGTGAAAAATCGGAAGGACTAAGAAGCAA